GTAAAGTACAGATACCCAAAAATTCTACTTAAAAATTCTATTTAAGTACAGTAACAAAGTATTTGTACTTAGTTACTTTACAACTCTGTTAAAAACTCTGAACTTTTGAGTTCAAACTTGTGCTGCAATATTTCCAACAGGACGTCATGGCCAAAGAGAAAAATTGTACATCTAACCAAGTCTTATAATCTTACATCCAGCCCAAAAGTATTTTTAATTTGAGAAGATTCAGATTCAAATTAAATGAAATAATCTGCCAGTGCAGTYAGAAACTTCTCTTGAAATATGAAACATTTCCAGGCTAACAAGATTAATCTAACACATGCTCTTGCTTAGTTTATCAGCCTCAAAACAAGATCAAAAATACTTTTTGGCTTTATGAGATCYTAACGCTTGGTTAAAGGGACAATTCACCCCTGCTTCTCTCACATGATGCTGTTAGAAGCAACTCATTTTCCAAGAATAAACACAAGAACGCTAATGATAGAAAAGTCAAGTGATATTCACAAAACACTTTTTGTTTTGTACCCATGCAGCACTGATAGCTGTATAAGTTCAAATTACGACTCTGTGTCTGTGTGTCCGTGTGTTGATGTGTGTTTGTCTCTGTGTGTCTCATGAATCATTCTATAGATTTCCATGAAAGTTTCAGAAAGCTTTCATTGGCTCTACAWCTACAACTGGTTAACTTTTTGAGTCAAGCCAACCAAGGACGGCGATCACAGCCAGTCACATTTATCAATCACAAAAATAACACCAATAACAGTAGGTTTTACGAATATTAACCTAAAATTTTCTGTTGTAGCATCTGAGAGTTATCAACAACACATACTCTGAGCAGATGTTGCAACATTGTGTGACATCTAGGGGTTTGATCAAAGTAAATTTTGATTTGAAAGGCCATGGCAACTTTAAGTCCACTGTTACCTCTTTTTATTCGTCTTTTTGTGGCCCTCAGACATTTAAGAAGGTGAAAAATATTTCAGCAGGCACATGCTATGCTCCTTAGCCTGGTTTAAACCAGACCCTGTCCTTCACTTTGCTTCATATGAGGGTCTGGACTTGATGCATAGAGAAGTGATTCTTGCAGGAGGCTTGGCCTCTGCTGAAGCATGTGTGTATCGTCGCTGTGACGGAGGCTAAGTTAAGAAGCTAACCAGAAATCACTTATTCTGTAAACAACCCTACTGAGAGGAGAAATATACCGAGCCGAAAGAGACGACTGTAAATGAGAGCTGCTGRTTTGTCAGACAAATTTAATTTAATTTGGAAGCCTTATCAACACYGACTGGCTTCATTCACTTCCTCCACTGCCGTATGCTAAAATAACTAGCAGACACTGCGCAGAACATCGACGTCATTCAAAACTCTGCCTTCTGTTTGCTGATTGGCCCAGGTAAAATAAACTACAAGAGACTGCACAGAAAATAGACGTTCTCTTCTCTGATTGGCCCGGCTAAAAATCTGCCAGCGAAATCCTTGTCTATGGGAGAAATCCCAGACGGAGCAGTGAAGGGAAACTAGAATTGAGCGGAGCTGCGTAGGAAGGCAAGAGCCAGGCTATATGATCCTCTACAAAAATTAAAAGCATATTAAATATAGAATGTATTAATAAATGGCTTCATCTGAACCAATATCAGTTCTAATTTAAGGACTACGTCTTTGGAAAAAAAGATCTCATTTGTAGGAAGCCTAAAAAATGTGGGTTTAATTTCACAAAGTGCTTTGTGATAGTTCATCACATGATGCAAGATTCGATAAATATTCTTAAAAGAGCCCCGCTCACTGATCTGTGGTGGAAAATATTTATTTGCTTGAAATACGGTCGATACAGAGGCAAGAAAATAGGCGCTGCAGAAAACTGACAAACTAATCTCWGTGTTTACAGCAGCACTGGTCATATATCAAATGTCAACCCAAAACAATTTATCTGAAGCAGTGGAACATTTAGAAATGAAAGAAAACTCTGCCTGAAAGCAAAACATTGTTCCAACAAAATACACTAAAAAATAAAAAAAAGAGAAAGCTTTCTTTTTGTTTCGCCTGTTTGTGATACAACACCAAAAAAGCAACCACGGCACTGTGTGTATAATATTCAGAGTAGGTTTGTTAAATAATTTGATCTTGTTGGGTGAATAGATGACTCTGAAAAAGTACCTTTCTGGGTTAAAATAAAAAAGACTTTTAACGCATTTTCATACATTCATTTTGATTTTTTTTTTCTGAATTAAATTCATTAGGTTGATTAAAAGTCACATATGGGGGCTCTCAACTTAATCAAAATGGTTGCATTAATTCCATTTTGTTCTTGTATGTCTTTTTCTAATTGACAGCGTAGTCTTGTTGTCTCAGTCTGATCTCTTTTCATTAATTTAACATGATTCATAACCAACAAAATAATTTTTCAAAGAATTCTCTTTCATTTCACTAAAAAAACTCACATAAATTTCTAATTAATCTGACAAAAAAGCTATATAGAAGAACATTCATTTGACCCACCCAAATAAAATAAATCAGGTGTATTACAAGGATKAAATTGGCTGTAAAAAATAGATTGACCAAGCAAATTACTATATGACTGCATCATCTTGAGGAAAAAAATATTAGTCCATTTATACCCCCTAAAGACAGAGGCGAGACCACTGAGTGTCCAAAAATAAATAAATTTGCATTAACAGTTTATTTCAGAAGGGACYGTGCACATTATATGTGCCTGAATTGAAGGCTGGTTTTCATCTGTAATCCCTCGGTTTGAGACAGAAGCAGTGTTTCTATGAAAACTCAGCTAGCCCTCTGTAAGTACTCACTGGTCTCACTAGTCTTTCAACGTTCTCAGCAATCTCTCAGAACACAACATATTTGGTGGCTAATATAGCCAACTTTGTCACATGTAACCAGTTATCAAAGGATCACAGCCAACTGGTTCTGGATGTCCTTAGTACCAGTGATTCATGGGCCAAATATTTACAAGAGCTTATTGAACATGCGTGACTTTGGGTGAAGTTAGTTTTAGAAACCAGCCTCATCTGCTAATCACAGTTCTTGCATTATCTGGCTGAAATAACCAAACTGTAACCTTCTTTGTCGAGTCAACCAGGGTTTCTTTTTGAACTTTTGCTTCATACTTTTTTCTTCTTCCTGACAAGTGCAATGGTCATCTGGTTCGGGAGAAGTGATTGGTGAAGCATCGTAATTCAGAGCTTTGCTGTCCTTAAGAAGATACTCCTTCTTTAACAGTAGAAACTGATGGAAGAGCAATGGAATCAGATTATATTAATACAATGAGATGCATAAGCTTCTGTGAAATGCTTAGCGACCACATAAGTCATCCAATGACTTTTCAGTGGTCTCTCTGTGATTTATTGTCGACTCTTTTTCCACCAGCACCTCTACAGCATGGTTTGACTTGGCTCTCTATGGTTTTTCACTAGCAAGTATTCATGAAACAAGCAGTTTTTTCAGAGCATACTTTGCTGTGGTTTCAAGTGTACCGGGCTGACCTGAAAATGTGACATCAGAGGACTGTTGGTCATTGATTGGTTAAGGGGTGGAGTCACTGGTTGTGTCACAAGAGCTACTCTCGCAACAACCAGATCCATCATTTGCAAATAACAACACTACCATTGTTGTATTGCATATCTTTTTGGGGTCTTGTTCTTCTACTATATTTAATGGTGGCTGGCAAATATCTTAATGGAGCTTAACCATGCTGGTAGAGCATGTGGCATTAATTTTCGGACTCTGGGACCACCAAACTTTACGATGAACCCACCTGCTGGAACTGTTACTCCCAATTTACATTACTTGCGTTCCATCTCCGCTCCGCTCCGGTCCGACCTCRGCAGCAAATACGCACCCATTATAATCAATGAGAGTGTTTACACTGGCTGCGCAGGGCGGCGGTGAGCGGACGGTGATCCGTCAAAATTAGAACAGATCCTATTTTTGCCAGACACCGGAGCAGCGCCGGAGTCAATTTTTAAAGATTACGTCGCACCAACAGGAAAAGAAACGAGCACAACATCCATATTTTCAAAATAAGACACTATTTGACAGAATAATTTGTCATAATAATGTCGAAATTGCGGCTATATTAATGAATATACGTATATATTTATACACAAATGCTGTCAGAATGTATCATTCTATTTGGGAAGCAGATAGAAACATGTAGCATGAAGCATYTGTGTACACACACGATACACGTGGATTTTATTTTGAAATCAGAAGTTTCAGAAAGACGACAGCGAGACAGTTTAAACATATATATCAAAAGCCTTTATATCGTTGMTTTCAGCTGTGTTTGGAGTTCGTCTTTCTCAGAGTTAATTATTTTTTCCTGTGACTTCCACATTTATCACTGAATTTATCGCGCTATCTGCTTCCTGCATGTCTGTTGGACCGGATCGGAGCGGAGGTAATGTAAACTGGACTTGAAACGGTGCAGCTGTGACCTGCGTTGCGGAGCGGAGCGGAGACGGAACGCAAGTAATGTAAATCCGGAGTTACTGAAGTGTGAAATAGAAAACTACCCAAACTGTGCTGAACAGAGTTCAATCAAGTTGAACCATGCTGTAGAGGCACCAGTGGAAAAGGGCCATTAGGCTTCGCTCCCACTGTATGTCTTAATGCTCGATTCTGATTTTTTGCTGAAATCTGATTTATTTATTTATTTATTTATTTTTGTGGATGGATTGACGTGACCTGTATACACAGAAGAATATGTGATGTTTCATGCTGTTTACATAAATTAATATGGATGCTACACGTTAGCAGGTGTGTATCCACTGTGAAGTTGTTATGCAGTAAGAGTCGATTAAATAATTATCTGACATGCTTTTTTAGTTCACTGTTTACATTTGAACCTGCCTCCGCAAGATGATCGTTCAGACTGCAGTAGCTTTGAAAAACATCAGATGTGTATTTGTTTTGTACAACATACTGAAAAGACCTGAGTCGGATTTGGAACAAAAGAAATCTAATTTGTCACGTTCAGACTTTTATCAAAAAATCCAATATGGGTCACTTTACGGTAAAAAATCTGATTTTGGTGGCATTTGRCTGCAGTGTAACTGTAGCCTTATGGAACTCACAATACACTCTCAGTGATCTTTATCTCTGCAGGGAAACAAGGTTGCTGTTGGTCTTTCAACCAGTTCTCAAGGTTATTCAGACAGTAGATTTCTATGAAAATTGAAAAAAAAAACTTTAGTTCTATTACCAAGTCCTCTAGGACCTTCAGATAGTTTCCTATGGCATACATTTTTAGCGGTTTTACAGACTCTGGGACATCTACTCAATCATGGCCACTCTGTTTGCCCAGTGGTCTCTGTCCTATAGAAGGGGACCCTTGAAAATTTGTTGGTTTGAGAGAAGTTCAAGGACAATACCTGATTTGTGTGTATGTTTAAGGATGACTACATACCTGCAAACACTGCAGACAAAGCACTTGGGGTGGTACGTGCGGCCCAGAGCAGAGACCACCTCTCCTGTGATAAAGCTGTCACAGCGGTCGCAGCGTGTACCGTACAACCGCTGGTAGTCTGCCGTACAAATGTACTCGCCCTTCTTCTGGAAGAAGCCGGATCGTGCCAGATCACAGTTACACACTGTAAATAAAAGGCAAAAAAAGACACTTGAAGCAGCAAATAATAACACAAAGTTATGTTAAAGGCTATTTTTAGTATATGTTTTGTTGTTTTCGTGTAAGATTGTCTTTCCACATGGCTGCCAAGGAAGTTATTCAGTTCCAGACAATGGTGAGTCAATTTGCTCTGATGGGAATATAATGATATAATCAGGGGGAAAAGTCATTTTGTGCAGAACAAAGCAAAGAGGGAATCAAACCACACCAAAACATCAACTAAAAACTCATTAGGTCCTGGTGGGAAAAACAGAATTGACTTGCCATGGATGAACAAGGTGAACACTCAGTTTGTGTATCCTTATATCACACATAAGAAGAGAATATGTGCCTCAGTCCTTTCCTTTGAAAATGAGATGGAATCCCAGTGGGTGTAGAGCAGCTCGAAGGCACCCTCTCAGATTAGTTTCTCCTGGTATCATTTGCCTCATCAGTGTCATTTAACAACGGGAAGACAATACGACACAGATGTGGATGAAATTAGATGAAACCCTTTTTATTGATAGTTTTGACCAGATGAAAATGAGAGATTTTGCAGGTGAATTTTGCCCTCTTTTTTGGGATGTTATAATTTTGGACTTGACATTTCTTCCTTGCTGTGTACTGGCACTGTAATTAGCACATGGCTACAATTATCATGCAACTCTGAGCATTATGTAACAGTTGTGCTGGCCTTGGTTGAGGTGAGTGGTCATCAGGCCTTTGATGCCCAATGGTGGAATAAAGGTATATAAAAAATGTTTTATTTTTTAAAATATGCTAATTCGTTCAGCCACATGGTTCATTTACTGCAGCTTAGCATAAAAAAGTCTAAACGCACTAACAGATGAAATGAAAAACCTTGATCCTTTAAATACAATATCATTCGAGCAGGTACTAAACCACTAAACTGTGAATCATTGCAAAAACAATCACATGCTTTTATTTTGATGGGCTGCTTCCGCTAGAGTAAAAAAACTAAAACTTTATGTATTTATTTATTTTTGTGACATGTCTGTGACAATAATGGAAAATTTTTTGAGAAGTTTATCAAGGATCTTGACAAAAAATGAGAACCAAAAAAAGGAAAATACGGTTAGCATGGATGCTAATAATAAAGCGAGACAGAAACAGAAACTAAGATAAATGTGGTAAAATTCAATTCACATTTGCAAAATAGAAGGAAAAATGTCCTCAGGCCTTAATAAATAATTACAAGAATAATCTAAATACAGACAAAAATCATACTTGTAATATGCAAAAAAAAAAAAAAGAGGTGAAATTGTGTTTAGGTCCATTGTCAACAAGATAACAGCATGACTTAAAGTGTTATTCAAGTCATGTGTTACACTATCATTGGTTAGTAAAAATCGCAATACCAGTTTTTTACAATATCCTGCAGCCCTAATACTGTACAAGGCAGAGTTTTGTTGGGAGATTTTGCGTTAATATATTCTGTCAATTATATTTTGACATATAACAGCCACCATACATCTAAATCTTGATGCACCACAAGCTGAGTAAGAAATGATGCACACTGACGGCAATGATTGACTTCAGTAGGACAATATTTTCTGCTGCGCAGCAAGAACAGCTGAGGATCACTCAGAGGATGATAAAGAAAAGGTCAGAGCAAAGACATTGACTAAGCTTCAAAATTTCCCCAGATCCCAACTAGATATTGCTTTTGTGCTGGTACAYTCCAATCCACAACCCATAGGTCCAGATATTTAGCTGTCAAAGTCAGTATCAGACAGCCAGGGCATGCTAAGAAATGCATGTTATTGGCACAATAACCATTAAACTTTAAACCTTTAAACAATTTCCATCCATCCATCCATCCATCCATCCATCCATCCATCCATCCA